ACAAACAGTTTTAATTAGTCCTTTATCTCACAACTATTAATTTCCCCAATTATAAAGGGTCTGAAATCGTAAGCGAAACGTGCATGTCACTTTGCCCTTTTTCAGACGATGTTTTGCTGTTCAGCATCTATTCGGAACAGCATTACATTTACAATTCCTATTTATATTCACGACTAAGAGACAGGAACGGGTGTGCAGCTCGAACTGTGAGCCTGAGTGTTTATTAAGAATGATATACAAACACTCCTACATAAAATCACTCACGTTAAACTAGTCACATGCGCAGCCTGAAACGAAAACGCAATAAAAACTCAATGGGAAAAATTATTTTATAAGCTTTGCCCTGGAGAATACAAAAACAGAAAAAAAGAACAAAAAACAACAACAACAACAACAACAACAAAAACACTGTAGATGTGCAAACAAAATATTAGGGCAGGGACACCGCAACAGCTAAAGCCAGTTACTGCGGACCCCAAAAATTAAAAGATATAAAAGTAGCAATTTAAATCACATGCAGCAGCTAATTTCCTGGTCTAAAAACCTGGCTGTGTTAATTTTCAGGCAAATACTTTTGCAGCTCATAGGAAAGTCCGGGTCATAGTTTATTGCTAGAGCCCGCGAGTAATAACCGTAAAGAACAGATTTAAAGTTCTCAAAAGTAACATTATCTAGGTCTAGTAATAAGCAGGTTCCGGATTCTAGTGGTTCTAATGAAAAAAGATTTCTGAAAGGTAGAAGTCCTGCATTTTTTAGGCACAAAAGATTGAGAGCTCTTTACGGATATACGGGTCCTTCACGCGCATTCGCGCACGAAGGGAACAACAGACGGATCTAAGTGAATCATGCTATGTGTAGCCTTGTAAAAGTATACTAGATCTGGTAACTCGTGCCAGTAGCACAACAATGCAGTCGCACTACCTCTGGGGGTTAAAGATAAAAAGGTCAATCGATAGATATGTAACTGATACAAAAACAATAATAACAGTTGAAAGTTTGAGAACTGAGATGAATAAGTTACACATGACCGTGTACGTGCGTTCATACCAACGGCAAAGTATTTACATTCCCTATCACTGCCATTAAGTTTAGCTCCACCTAGCCTGCCGATCAAGCTCTCTGGAGCGCTCTAGCGGGGGGCGGGGGGGATTCGGGGATAATTCTTTTCCCGCCCCGCCGTCAAAGAGCCCCGGAGAGCTTTCTCGCAGGCTAGCTCCGCCGAATGTAAATACATTATTTTCAACCTCTAGTTATATTGTTCTTCTGTATTAATTTTTAGGTCACAGAGAGAGAATTCTGGGATTACTATGCTGCGATTGGGGCAAACATTGATAACGACGCTTTCTTTGAACTCATGATGAGAAATGCATGCAAGATATAAACATCAGTATACGTAAAGCTCACTTACTTAATTATTGTTACAAAATTTAAGGAAGACCCCATAAATTAAATAAAATAAAATGCCTTTCCTTTCTCCGGTGATCCCAAGGCTTGTTATAGTTAAAAACAATTCCTTCTAAGAAGTCACCTGAGAAGTACCTTCCCTGACGCATGGAAATAAACCTCTTCAGCTTGTAGGCACCAACTGATAATAGACCAAGTTACCTACCATGTCAAAGATAATTGAGAGACTTGCACAAAGACAGTTTTCTGACTTTTCATCAAGAAATATTAAAATGTCAGTTCATCAAAGTGGCCATAAGAAATGCCACTCAACAGAAACTGCTCTTATATTTGTCAACATATTATTTCTGAAAAGCAGCTGACTGTATCACTGTTAGTATTAGACACTTAATGACTGGTCCCGAGGTAAACAGTTAATTTTGTTTCTTTGAGTGATTTATTTTATAGCTGGAAATTTTGAAGCTGGAAATTCATTAAACCTCGCTTTAAAGTGGGTTGTCGGTCAACATTCGCGGGTGCACTGTTACCCTCTGACGTCATAGATTTTGCAATATTGCCCGCTCAGAGATTTTGACAGGAAACATTTTTATTGTTAGTTGTCATATGACCTGGAAGTGGCCAAAGAGAGCGCGCGCCATTGGGAAGAAATTTCCAGCTACAGTGAAACCTCTATTAAGCGGACACCTTCGGGACCTTCCCAAGTGTCCACTTAATAGGGGTTTGTAAAAATTGTGCAATGTTTGTTAACGATTAACATTCAACGGTTGCTCTGTATTGTGATAAAGTTCCACGTTGTTAAGGAAGCTATTGGCAGTGTATTGGGAAACTGTGCTATATTTTGCGAAAGACTTTTAGGTGAACTGTGATCGCGGATGACAATTATTCGGCCGGATCGGTCCAATCTACATGCAGTTTATTGACAGCAAAATGTATTGATTTATCTTTATTAATCGACCACAGTACGTATTGCTGGTTTTCAGTGTCACGCCATCCAAAATAGATCAAAATAAAAATCAAAACCATTCGACAGATAAAGACCAGAATCTGGGAAATGAAAGGAGGTAAATATACAAAGACCCTCGCCAAGATTTGGGTCGAACGTATACAGTTATTGCATTTTCGCGTGAAAAGTGCTCTATAATGTGTTCAAAAATAAACCAGCCCGTGAAAACGCCGTGACGTGACATAGGCCTGGTATGGCCATGCCCGCTCTGGATTATAGGCTCCTGACGCAACTTCCTTAGAGGACAATTGTGCACTAACCTATCAAATGTTTTAGACATAATTAGTATTGTCATATACAGTAAAACCGCTATTAAGCGGACCCCCAATTAAGCAGAGACGCTCTATTAAGCGGACACTAAGCCGGGTTCCAAAATTAACGTCTTACATTTCCTTTTATAACGAACCCCTATTCAGCGGACACCTCTATTAAGCAGACGCGGACACTAAAATAAATTGTATTTGGCGGATTTCTATTGTAAAAACCTCTATTAAGCGGATACCGAACTGAATTGACAATAGTATTTGATTACTTCCTTGAAATTGTTGGTTTTCACATGACGTCACTAAAATTCAAACTACAAAACTATCGAGCCTACTGAGATTTTACTTTCATGGTGTATTAGAGCAGCTGAAAACTAATTTTCAAACAAATTTTCGCTTCAAAACGGTTCTTGGTTTGAATTTCTAAGCTTTTGAGTGGCGCAGGATTTACATGACGGCCGAAAGAGCTGTCATTTAGAATAAAAAAGTGACTTTTTTCGAGAAATTTTGCTATCTAAACAGTTCAAGTATTAGAAAAAGATTTACTTTAAAGTTTATGAGTTCCTCTAGGAGTAAATTCACGCTTTTGTAGCAAAACTCGGTAACAGATGTTTCTGTTGGTTTCCGTCCGCCATGTTGGAGCTCATCCGGATGAGCTCCAGCATGGCGTCTCCATACAAAGCTCTATAAATTTGGGTAAAACATTTCCTCGGATATCTCGTATACGAGTTATTCGTTCGACCCAAATCTTGTGCTACATACCGTGAATTTACTCCAAGAGGAACTCATAAACATTAAAATAATACTTTTCCTAAAACATTGAACTGTTTAGATAGGAAAATTTCTCGAAAAAAATCACTTTTTTAACCTAAATGACAGCTCTCTCGGTCGTCATGAAAATGCGGCGTCGCACAAAAGCTTAGAAATTCGAGGGTACTCTGTTAAAAAACGAAGAAGCCTTCTGAAGGGAAAACTTGTTTGAAAATTAGTTTTCAGCTGCTCCAATACACAATGAAACTAAAATCTCAGTAGGGATAGGTTTGTAGTTTGAATTTTAGTCACGTCATGTGAAAACCAACAATTCTTTTATATACCAGCCTTTCTGACTTCGTCACGAGGTCACAGAAACGCTAATTATACACACAAAGATCCTCTGCTCTCAAATAGCTTAACTAATCTGGGCGGACAGAGAAAAGCAAGAAGTGAAAAAAAAGGGGGAAAGGAAGATGTATCTATACAAATGACACGAGAAGGTATTACAATACAACGTTACAAAATTACAAAAAATTATTTTACATTTCATGTCATCTTGCTTAGTTTTTTTAATAAAAGTAGGTGTGTCAAAATAAGGGAGGGGGTCGAATAGGGGTATGTAAATCCGCCGATCCGTTATGATTTATTGACCAAATCCGCCGTTAACATTTTGCCCTGAAACGGAAATCCGGGCAAAAATATTTTAATGACACGCAAAGTCGAAAACTGATCCAGGCCCAAAAAACAGATGAATTTGCAATCCGCTGCAATTGCAAGATCAGGAAATCCGTTACAATCTCCCTTTGATTCCGAAACCCGGGCAAAAATATTTTCAAAATCCGCCGATCCGTTCGTCTATTCACCTCCCTCATAAGTATTCTCCAATTCTAAAATACCCAACTCCGCTGTTTACCGTCACTGCACGACTAACCCACAACAAACCCAACATGAATGTTGCGACGTTGCCACGCGATCCTCTCGACCCCAGGGCTTTTCCCATAAAAAAAGCCCGGGGACGAGGTAATGATGCATCACAAACATTGTTTCTGTTGTTTAAATGCATAACAAGTGAAACAAAAGAATCTTGTGTTTCTAGAACCGATGCGCTTCTGGTTGGCACAGGTGATCAGGTGATGGAAGTAAACATGAGTATCGCAGATCTGGGACGTTTGGAAAACTCTCGGACTCACGCTTAATCTCTAAAGGGCTCTCACATTAGATTTAACTACAATATTCATGTTCGTTTTGAATTTATCGGTCAGCTGGTGTGAGGTATGAAGCCAAGAATCTTCGGAGCTGCTTATATCTAATCGGGAAGCGATCGGATCTTCCGAACACCCATCCCCAATAGCGGGTTCCAGGCCTCACACCAGCTGACCGCGAAATTCAAAATGGCCGCCAAAATGAAAAGTACTTTTCACGTATCGACAAAGTGAGCAATCTTTATTTTTTTAAAAATGTTCCCTTTTCGGATGTGATAGACCCAAGTGCTTAATTTCGTCAAAGACCAGAAGACTATCCAAAGATTTCTAGGCTCCAGACCTCGAAATACTGACTTGCTGACAGCAAAATTTAAAATGGCCGCCAATGAAAACAAATTCCACCCATCGCCAAAGTAAGTGATCTTTATAAGAATTAAGAGAGGAGTGACTGCAGTTATGCCTCGCGACGTTTTGCGAGCCTTGCGAGACACGCGAGTCACTTATTTCTAGTTCTAGAATTCGAATTTCAAAGGGTCATGGATGAATAGCTAAAAGAGCAGGTTACGGGATTGGTTGAGAGTTCCATGATCGAGTTCTAGAAGGCGGAAGTAGGTCGAAGTACTCGTTGTTACAAATTTTGTTGAGCACATTGATTTGCTTTTGCTCTCTAAACGAAATGGCGTCAACTTCAAAGACAAAAAAGACCAAAGGAAGTTTAGCTAGATTCTTAGAGACCTTATGGGCAATGGTTGACGATGAAGATGAGATAGAGAAATGCAGTAAATACATATCGTGGAATGAGGTATCTTAATTGAAGCATCAAAGCTTACTGTTTCATAATACTTCTTTTCTTACTGACCTGCACGCCTCGTTTACAGTTTTTTAAGCTGTATTAAAATGATATAGAATGATTCAACATAATGATGCTCTAAGCTTATTTCACATTCCCTATTTTTTGCAGAGTGGAACTGGTATAATAATCAAAAGTCGAAACGAGTTTGCCTCCCACATCCTTCCTATTTATTTCAACACTCAAGAGTTTGCAAGCTTCCATCGTCAACTAACTAATTGTAAGTATGCTTGTAATCAGTTTTTGCACACAACTGCTGCATCCCTTGTGCAGAAAAATTAAAGACAAAAGAACTCAACCGAGAGTAATCTCGCTTCCAGCAACATGTTTGCATAAGCCAAACGATAGCTGTGCTACAAGATACTTTAATTTAAGATAATAGATAAATGGGTAATAAACAAAATATTTTGTAAATCTTAGCTAAGAGAAGAAATGAAGCGATTTTAAGGCCTCTGTAATTGACTCTGTAAATATCTGATCAGCAATTGTTGGATAATGCATGGTTAAATTTTACATTTGAACACCCCACCTCTGGGAAATCCCTGGGGTGAGTCTATCCATTTGGGCTTGGGGGTGGAGATTGGTTTGAAGGAGCCCTATCCCAGGGATAGGGGGAGGGGTAAAGGTAAAGAATAAGGTACACAGGAGACCAAAGGCCCAAAACAGCTGCAGCTTATACCGGTTTCTTGTAGCATGAAGCATGCCTCAAAGTATTTTTACTCCCCTCTGGATAGAATGCTAGTCCATTGCAGGCCTACCCCCAACAGTACGTTGCTGGTACCCATTTATACACCTGGGTGTAGAGCGATAAAGTAGAGTAAAGTTCCTTGTCTAATTTAACAACGCCAAGTGCCGGGCTTGAATCCTGGACCTAGTTCAAGTTGTTAACCACTTGGTACCACATGCCTCCAAGGTAGGGGGAGGGGTTTATTAAAAATTACTTCTTGTTGTTCTTGTGAAAAATATTTTATTCTAAAGAACAGTAATTTGCAAATGTGGAAGTAAAGTGAAACCTGACACACATTGCCATTGTTTTAAGGTAGCTTTTCTTTTTTAAAGCATAATTATTCAAGTGAAAGCACAGGCAGCCCAATCTCAGTATGAGAGCTTCATCATTATTTGTGTGTATCATATTGCATAATCCTCCAAATGGCCGTGATTATTAAGAATTTGTATGTGGGAATTCAGGTGAATAGATTTAAGATGATACTTTCAGGAATTTTCAATAAAAATGCTTAACCGTATTTACTTGGTGCCTTCTTGCTTTCTGCAAGCGACTGCGAAAAAGCAAACACGGCTCCCATGAAGAAGTGCTTAATTTAAAAGCAAATTTTTGTCGCTCTATGGTTTCATTTCCTCTCAGCAGAACAACTTACTAGTTAAATTTTTAATATTTTCAAACTCTTTCTTTCCATTTTTTTTTCTTTTACTGTGTAATGATAATTAATATTTTGCAATCCATTGACATGAAATTATAGTCACCTGAATTTCATGGTATGATGACAAGCAGGAGACGTTTTTTTTCAAAACTTGAAATTATTTTGTTCCAGTAGCTCTAAAATCACTATATGTATTGCAGAATATTTAATGTGTTTCCTATTCACCTAAGAAAAAAAATGAACAACACCTGGGCCCATATGTGGAAATGGTTGCCACATTATTTTAATACACACCTAAAACATGGCTTGAGTAGTATTAATTTTAGAACTGATCTTGTTTGCTACTCCTTTGAGCTGAATTGCACAGATCCCTCTCATGATACATCCTCAGAGGCAGGGTCAGTGAGTGATGAGAGGCAGCTGGGTATATTCACAGGCTTGTATTAACCACATGGAAAATATCATGTGTTAAAAATTAATTCGTTTTTTTTTTTTGAGAAGATGGATTTAAAAAACTCCAGGATGTAGAGGAGGATGAGTTCGTAAATGAAAACTTCATAAGAGGCTCTCCAGAGTTACTGAAGAATATCATCAAGAAAAAGGTGAGTGCACAGATCATGAGTCTTCTATTAATTATAGCACTAATGACAATAAGCCTAAATTCACTCCTGAGTGCACATTGCATATGGCTGATGTAAAAATTCACATTTCAAAATTTCTTCTTGTTTGAAGAATCCAGGGGTTTCAATAAAAGTTGAATTAAGGTGGCTCGATACAGTTTTTCTCCTTTTCTTTAACACAAGTTTTTAAAAAGATTGAAACTACTATTAGGTGAAATTGCATGTCAAACAGCCGAACACCAAGATTGTCCATTTTTTACCATATTTCTAACCACAAATTCTTTATCCCAAAATATCTCGATAACGCTCTTACAGATTTCGCTTAAACTTCACGAAAATCGAGACTAGTATTGGAGGAAAAAGCTCCTGTGAATGATTTTCGAAGAACAGTTCCCAGTGCCGAGATATACTGCTGCAAGTAAAATAGGTAATAGCGTCATTTCGTTGCTATGACAACTCCGATGCCGTTGCAAGCCTGATCATAACAAATTTTCATCTTCATCTAATACAACTGTGGTGGCAATTTTTCCAAAACTTTGTTTGTGGCGATGTAGTTTATGCTCAAACTTGGGAGGTATTGTCCCTGAAAAACTGTATCGAGCCACCTTAAGTAGCCAGACTGCTATTGATCCCCCCAGACCCCGCAAGAAGAAGGGGACCAACAGACTGTTGATACAGTCAGTTACTTTATTCAAACCTGCTCTATATATTATGATCACAATGATTTAATTACGTTCATTTGCAGCACATCAACAAATTCTGTATAAATTGACCTACATGTATAAGGAAATGAGTAAAAAATTTATTGGAATAAAGCATTAACATTATAATAACTAATTAAAAGTATAACATAAAATCTGTAGGCAAACATATTTATGAAATTACACAAAATAAGTTTACATTCAGATTTTATGATATAGTTTTTGTTTATGGCATTATAAAAACTAGTTGCTTCTTCTTTTGAGAAAAAAATAGCTGACTTCTTTGAGTAAAGTAGCCGACAGTCATTTCTTGGTCATCGGTGCTTTAAACTCAAACCCCCGAGAATCCAAAGAAATAAAAAGAACCATGCATTCAAAAGTTCTGCCAAAGAGGTTTCATTTGAAGGGTAACATTATTAGGATTTACATGTTTACATTTATTTAAAAACATGATGATCGACTTCTATCACCCTTGCATCAGGAACCCGGCCAGACTGGGGTCAAAGCCTGGCCTGAAAGCTGGGGTGAGCCTGGCTTGTGGCCGGGCTTTGGCCATGTTGGCCAGGGGATAAAAAAGAATGCGGAATGCCGTGGCCACAGGTCCAGCCCGGCCTGGCCTGGCAGCAGTTGGCCAGGGCCAAAAACTGAGAAGGAAAAGCAAAAAACATAAATGGTCACGTGGTCCGGAAACAAGGGGCTCTGGAAGCAGCCGTTACCGGGTGTCAGAAAATTTCTGAAAACTGACAATGTGTCATTCTTTGTGAAAAATAGCAGTTGTAAAGTAAAGAGTGTCCTTCATGGGACAACAAATGGCCAAAGATTCTGAGGTATTCATGTTGCAGTCTCTTAATGTTATAAATTTTTGGCCTGGAAATTCAAAAAAGCCCGGCCAAGCCTGGCTTGAATAATTAAGGCCTGGATTAGGCCGGGCTTTTATGACTAGGGTTACCGAGAAAGCTCAGCCTCGGAAGTAACAAGACCAGGAAGGCCAAGCTTTGGCAGCCAAGGTTGCCAAGAAAGCTTGGCTGTGACCATGCTTGGCAGGCTTTACCAGGCCGCATTTTCCCGGTAAGCCTGGCCAGCCTTTTCCAGGCTGGCTGGGTTTTTGGCCAGGCTCCTGATGCAAGGGCAATTAATTCATAATCTGTAATTGTACACTGTATATATTTTAATCATTTTGACTGTTCAGTTTGATATTACTGTTCTAGGCACTCTTTATTTTTTTTATGGGGTAGGGGGCCTGGTGGGGTTTGATGGCTTAGCACTAATAAAATTAATAATGACCCCCTCTTCATTAGACAGTTTTTCACCTGCCCCTGCCCCAGGTTGAAGCCTTAAACATTTGAGATGACCTCTCCCCCCTCCCCCTCCCCCTCCCCCACAAGAGAAAAGAAAAGAAACATTCAAAGTTATTAAGCTGAACTTAAATCAAACATAAAGCCTTGAGGTCAATTTCAACATTCTAGTAGGTTTCAGAATTAGTCCTGTTGAACACCAGTAACTGTATAAAGTTACGGTGAGGGGTTCCAGTGGTACTTTCTTTCCCCACAAAATTTTAAACTATTTTCACTGATCCGCCCTTGAACTGCTTGTGACATAATAAGTTTCATCATTAAAGAACAACTTTAAGTCAGCTAACTTATGTAGGGTGAAGAGGTCTTTCAAACCATACTAGAATGAGCATGATTCAGTCAAGGAGGCAGCCGGTGTAGAAAAGGGGAAAAAAAAAACATGACTTTGTACAGTCGAGCCGAAAATTCACGTAAAAATCTGGGTCCACTTAACCTACCCCCGGGGGGGGGGGGACTCCGTATATGAAATGGGCTGGGGATGCTCGTCGTCTCGCTTAGGGGTGAAAATTTCAGATTTTGGTCTTGCTTGGGGTTTTCTGGGCAAACCACCATTATATTTAGCCGTAAAGGTCTCTTAGGGTTGCACTCGAAGAAATATTTAAAAATTATATATTTTCAATTCATTTCATTTACTCGATTCATGTAATCAAAGTTTAAAATGATCCCTTTTAGGAGTCAAAAAAGGTTAGGCCACGCCCAGATTGGTCTCCTTATTAGGGGTTTAATTCAAAATTTCCGACGAACATTCCCACCCCTTTCACATGCCGAGTCCCCCCCCCGGAACCTACCTACCATTCCTTTCATCTATCCTCAGTTCCTAAAAGCTTTCCCTCAAAATTTTTCAACCGACATAAACCCCACTAAATACCCAGCAAAAGAAAAAAAATGAGTTAAAGAAGAGGGGAGGAGAGAACTAGCATTAAAAGAACTCCACAGACTGCTGTTTCACTTTCAAAATTATTTCGAAATTTTGCCCTCTACGAATGCCCATAGTTCAGAAGCTACTATTTTGCACCTGAAGAAGGGTATGAAGGCCACAAAGTGTAGTGTCCTCTTTATAGCCATACATTGATGAGAAAACAGCTCAACTATGTAGCTTCAAAACACGTTTTTCGGCAATAAAAATTCCCAGGAGAGATCAATAAAAGTAGAAAAATAAAAAAGCTTTTTTTGTCTGCATGCAGTCATACAAATTGAAGCGAATCACTGTTCTTTACACCTGTCATTTTTTGTCTGCCCCTCTTTGAAAGAAGCCATGATAATTATGGCTCATCATTTTTGGAATGGCTTGCCCCCCTTAAATCCTATCAACCCCACCCACCTGATACAAATGAACAGCATGGATGCTAACTGTGCAGTTTGCTGTCACTTGTATTGTAACAGCCACCTTAACAACAATCATACATGTATTTCCTTGTAATGTTAATTTTTTTGTATTTTAACACAGCCACCTGACAAGCATCAAGCGGGTTGTTCCTCTGACAGTGGTGGTATAAAGCAAAAAGGTACACAGATTGATATCGCATGTAAAGTGTTCTTGTCAATTATAAAAGCAAGTAGTAGCACATGCTATGACCGACTCTTAAGGGATCTATAGCTGAGGAAAAGCTAAGCTGGTTTTTTTATTAGTCGACAAGCTTGCTTTTTACTCAACTGCACCTTCAAAATTACCCCTCGTAATTATTTTCCAGAGTAATTTGAGCTGGTGGTAGTATTTGTCTTACAGCTGATGAAATGAGCTGGAAGTAGCCTCTTAGTGACTGACATCCCTTCTCTTTTATCATTTGTCTCATGATAATGAATTTTAATATTGATCCTGATCCATCAACTACATGACTGCTGAGTGGGACCTTTATTAGCACTTTGGTTGCTAGTGACTGGTGCATATAAGAACATCTCGCGGGGTGGTGGGTTTTGTTTCCAGGCATTGCTTGTATTTACAGTCCCTGTATGGATGGAATTGACTAATAAATTAATTAAAAGAAAAAATTTATGCTGGTACATGTACTGTAGGCAAAATCATTCCTATTGAAACACTTCAGGCGAGCAGCTCACCGTGTGATCGAGTCTCCCATAGCTCTTGATGGTTAGAGTCTCCAACTGGAAACTGAAAGGTCATAGGTTCCATTTCTGAGCAGTTTGTTATGTACACAGCTGTACTTAATATCTATTTCCGCTTCGTCGCATGGTTTATTTTCAAACATAGTATGAATTATTTTCCCTTTCTTTATTGCTATTTTGTTTACGTGTTACGTTTTTAGTTGCGGTCTTCCTATAAATAGCTTTTGGTTTAGTGGAGTTTCCCGTGAAATAAAAACAAAAAGAAAGATTACGTTGTCCTATGTTATTTGCAAAGGGAAAGATTTAGATAAGCGCTGCCCTGAAATAAGAACTGCACCTACACGTCGTACCATCATAGCAATGAAAGAAACTTCATGACTTACCCGTTGTGTGTATTTACGCTCGCATTTTCTATCCCTTAGGCTCAAGTGCGCGTAGAACGAGTGTAAAAACTCATCCAGCCCAGAATTCTGTTTCTACGTCATTACCACGTAACCCCCAGGTAAAGTTTCAGATAAGGTATTATTTATCAATCCCACTACTGTATTGTGATTATTTCAAATAGTTGAAACCCAGCAATCTTTGCACAACTAGGTTTAATATGTCTGTCCTGTTGAGTAGTAGTCCTGACCTTTCGCATCGTGCAACAACTGCACTTGTACCGGAATTCATCTCGAGACATGCTGAAATTAGGGTTTGCAAGGAGTTCCTTGGAAATTCGCTTCTGTGTATGATTTGCTCTTTCAGCCGCTGCGGTTTTAAGTAAGAGGGATTATAGGGCTTTTCCTTTGAAATATATCAATATCACTTTTATTATTTATAAATGTTGTTTAGGGTGTAATTAGAATAATAACCCCTTTAGTTCTCACAGGCGAGCAGGCTATAGGGTGGATTGGCGGGCTCACAGGCGAGCTGTTTGCCTTCAAGTTATACTTTTTTCTGTTAAGTGCGCAATAGCCTCTCTACTCCGCAGGCCTGCCTCTTTGTGTCAAAGGGTAGCCTGTGAACAGCAGACGCATTTCTGGTCGTCGCTTATTTCGCAGGGAGAGAAGCGACGACCGAAAATGCGTCCGCTGTTCGCAGGCTAGTCAAAGGGGGGCTGAGGAAAGGGAAAAAAAAGCGACCAGCGAGACCCTCTGCGCCGGAGGAGAGGGCGAAATAGCCATTAGCGAACGCCTGTGATTTTATCTGCCACTTATTTTTCTCTGTCCGACAATAAAGTTTTTTATTTGAAAAATCTAGTTTTCGCCTCGAAAACCAAAATTGCGGCACGTCATATTGGGGAAAAAAGCTTGTCAGCAAGTGGTTGCAATATGATTTATTAAAAAGCTCCTCGGCTTCTTTTAGGAACGACGGAATTGTGGTCGCGTATTCTCGTGCAACCTTGAAAAAACGACAGTTAAGTCAAAAAGACATGGGAATATTGTTGTTGTTGCTGTTTTTGTATTGTGCCTATCAGAGTATGGGTTGGGAGCAGGGACTGGATGGGAGGTGCCTTCCTCCCTCAACCCCCACCTCTCGGGTCAAAATCTATGCTTGCATTGTACCGCACATAATACAAATATCATGATTATATTTATAATGTTGTTGTCATTTATTGGGCAACAGAACCCCACGCTGTCAGGAGAAGGGCCAACACTGAAGGGCAAGTATGAACAGACCAATAAGCTATCTGATCATAAGCCGTCGAAGAAAACGAGAACAACCACCGGCGTTTCAAAGCACAAAAATCCAGCTACAAGGATGCATCCATACCCGAGACCAACTCAGTGGTCTCAGAAAACACCTGCTTCTGAGAAGGATAATAGCATCCATCAAATAAAACCACAGCTGTCAATACTTCCAGGTAAATATTCCAGTTTCGAATTCGTCGCGGCCACTGAATAGAAGCACTGAAGACTCGTTTATACAGGGTTAGCCTCAACCTAAGGTAAATATATTCACAAAACCCAGTCAGAAGAAGACCTGTGTACAACTGCGGCATCTGTTTGTTTAAACTCAAATTCATACACCTTCTCGCAGGTGTTTGTGAATATTTTACTTTAGGTCGAGGCTACCCCTGTACAGAAATGTCTTCGGCACTTTTATTAAGCGGCCACGACGAAAACATGATACCTTTAAGCTACGTGCAAACGGACGCACGCAAAAACTTCCAACATTGTGGGGCCAACAGTGTTGGGAGTTGTTGCGTCCGTGTTGGCAGTGGTTTGCAAACGGATGCAACAACTTCCAACAATGTTGGGGCCTTCAGTGCATCGTGGGGAGGATACAACCCGTAAACATGGGTAATGCACTTGTGTGGCCCCGACATTGTTGGAAGGGCTGTGCAAACTGATCCAACATTAGGGAGTTTAAGATACCAGGACGGCGACGGCCACGAAAACGTCCCTCAAAAAGTGAATTTGCGTTCTTTCAATCTCCCGTCGTAGTCGTGCAGTGACGGCAAAGAAATGTACAAAAAAACATGCTGCACGTGCAGAGTTGTTGTTTTTTTTACGTTCTCGTTGTCGTCGCCGTCGTGCTATCTTAAAGTCCTTATTGTTGCGCTACGCTACGGCGATCGCGGAAGTTCATGAAACGTTGGGAGTTCTTGGCTGAAACGTTTGACCGGTTTCAAACTTTGCGCAACAACTCCAACAACACGCAACAGAATCCAGCAGGGTGTGCAAACGGACGCAACATGTAACAGCAAACAATGTTGCGTCCGCACGGGGCTTTACAAGTGGAAATGACTTGTTAACTTCGCACGTGAAAAAGTTGCTGTTGCTATGGTTACATAATAAATCGCGCCTTTCGCAGCTGTAAAAAATTATTTAAGTGAAATGGTTTGGTATATCATTGGTGTTAATATAATCATTAGAACGTTACATGGCCGCTTGGAGATATGAACTTTCTTTTCTCGTGTTGAAAAATAATTCACTGGTATATTTTTCAACGCTCGAAGAGTGTTGGGGATAAGCACAGATTTCTTCAACTCAAACGGTGAAAACTAAAACAAAAATACAAAACATGTAGGTAGAGAGCAAGATAGAACTGAAAAACGAACCAAATACTTACAAGTTCTGTGCTCTCTCTACCATACAAACAACGCAACAACTATCACAGATCAACACCCTAGTCACATGGAAAAAGAAGTCACGTGACCAGTGCTCAGGTCCCTATCAAAAAAACCTAACAGTTTTCGGATAATTTTCATGTCCGATTTTTAAATTAGATTTGTCCCGAACATCCCGGCCTCCTTGGGGCGATCGCGTAGAACGTCCCAACAGTTAAACTCAGCAACTACACCGCATCTACTTCTTTCACATCGTTCTCAAGCAAGCACAACTTCTGTATAGGACGAACATAGACAGCATCCTTGGTCTTGACTTTCACAGTCCGTACTAGACCATCTGCACCCGGGTACGTCTCCAACACTCTACCGAGATTCCAATGCCCTCTAGGGGTGTTGTCGTTAACAAGAAGAACCAAGGCGTCGGGTTTGATATTAGGCAGCACTCTTCGCCATTTACCTCGTTGTTGGAGGGTTGGGATGTACTCCTTCAACCACCTTTCCCAAAACAAATTAGCCAAAAATTGAACCTGCCTCCACTTCTTTCTGTAAATGTCAGTCTTCTCAAAGACTCCAGGATGCAAACAGATGATCTTCCTCTGCATCAATAGGTGGGCCGGTGTTAGCGGTTCGAGATCGTTCGGATCGTCCGAGTTCGCTGTGAGGGCTCTTCCGTTAAGGATACGCTCAACCTCAGTAACAAGTGTTCGTAGAACCACATCTGTCACAGTTTGCGCCCCCAAAATGGACTTTAAGACTGTCTTTGCACTTCGAACCATACGTTCCCTTACGCCAGACATACTTGATGCAGTCGGGGGTTGAAATATCCATTTACAGCCTCGTTGTATCAGCTCTCTCTCTATCTGCCCTTGGTTCCATTCCTGGAGACTCCTCTTCAATTCTCGTTCGGGCCCAACGAAGTTAGAACCGTTGTCACATCGTAACTCTTTCACGTCTCCCCTTCGATTTATAAAACGCCTTAAACACATGATGAACTCATCAGTATCCATAGAATTAACCACTTCAAGATGTACGCTACGGGTGGTCAAACAGGTAAACAAGCAACACCACCGTTTCGCGGTCCCTCGGCCATGTTTCACATAAATCGGGCCAAAGAGGTCCATACCAGTGAACGAAAACGGTGGCTCATAGGCTGTAAGTCGACATTTGGGTAAGGGTGCCATCTGCTGGGTCATAGGTTTGGCGTTAAGTTTCTTGCAGGTAAGGCATCGATTAAGGACCGATCTAACCAATACACGCACTTGAGGGATCCAGAAATCTTCCCGCAACCTTGCAATAACATGTTCCCGTCCCAAGTGACCAATAAGGTGGTGAACGTGACGTACAACCAACTTGGCGACCGGATGGTCTCTGAGAAAAATCATTTGTTGGCCGAGTGTACAGGAGGTCGGCTTGAGCTGACCACGGCCATTAACTCTCAGGATTCCGCCTTCGTCAAGTTTGGGATTCAGTGACGCAACCTTGCTTGACGGCTTGACCGCACCGTTGGACTTCAAATCTTTAATCTCCTGTGCATACGCCAATCCTTGGACAATCCTCACAATTGCTGCAGTTGCCGCGTCAAAATCGTCAACACTGAGACGTCCAGTTTTGGCGTTCTGTTTGTCCTTAACAAATTGTACAAAACGCAGGAGCCAGGCCATTCTGCGCCTGAGGCGGGACCAATCTGAACAGGTAGTTAATAACACTCGGAGGGGCGGTTCTTCACAGCTTTCGACGGCCGTAGGCCTTGTATCTTCCTTCTTCGTCACGGACGGATTAGGGGAAAGTTGGACGGAGTGCACGAGAGCTTCCTTCTTTAACTCCAGACCTTCATCGGGTACGAATTGGCACTTGTCTGTGGGCCAACAAGTTTCCGGCTCCCACAAGAAGTCAGGTCCACGAAGCCACATATGGTCAGCAGTTAGCGAAGACGGGCTCATTCCTCGCGACACATAGTCTGCCGGGTTTAAGGATCCTGGCACATGATGCCAATCCTCTACAAGTGTGTGCTCCCTTATTTCTTCCACTCTGTTAGCTACAAACGTCTGAAGTCTTCGTTTCTCGTTTCTCAGATAGTGCAGCACTATTTCACTATCAGTCCAAAGATACGTCCTGGAAATGTTCAGTTCAAGTTCCTCTCGCAACATCTTAAACATCCGGGTTGCGAGTACAGCTGCTTGCAATTCCAGTCTTGGAATACTAACAAATTTCACAGGTGCATTTCTGGCCTTTCCAATAATGAAGGCGCAATGAACTCGTCCATCGGGGTACTCGCTTCGCAGATATGATGATGCGCCATAGCCAATCTCTGACGCATCTGAAAACATATGAAGCTGTAACTTGCATTGACGCGGGTCACCGTCCGACAGGAAATAGGACCGAGGGATAGACAACTCGGACAACAAGGGTAACTCAGTGTTCCATGCTCTCCATTTAGACAGAAATTCTTCGCTCAGGGGCTCATCCCATCCTATGTTAGCCTTCCATAGGTCTTGAATCAGGCGTCGTGCAGACAAAGCCACTGGTGCTGCGAAACCCAGAGGATCAAACAATGAACAAACAGTGGAGAGTATACCGCGCTTTGTTTCAGGGCGAACTAGGCTTCTTATTTCGAACCCCAACGTATCATCTCCAACAGACCAACGAACTCCGAGTGCACGCTCTATAGGTAGCTCGTCCAGGTCAAGGTTTAGATCTGGCTTAGATCGCTTATCATTTGGGACAGCACTTAGTAGTCTCTTGGAGTTCGACGTAAACTTGGTCAAGTTAAATCCGCCTCGAGCGAGCAGTTCTACCATGTCATGGGCTAGGCGAATTGCGCACTGTTCATCATTCTCAGAGGGAAGAGCATCGTCAACATAGAAATTTCTTTTTACAGCTGTAATAACACTAGAGCTGTACTCTTCGGCATTGTCGTCGGCCACACGGCGCAAAGTTGAGTTTGCAATACAGGGGGAGGAAGCCGCTCCGAAAATATGCACTTGCATGACGTATGTATCAGGGGGATTAACATATCCATTTGTCCACCACAGGAACCTCAAGGAATCCTGGTCTTCCTCACGCACACGTATCTGATGAAACATCTTTTCGATGTCGGCAGCGAACGCTATTTTTCCCTGGCGGAAACGTAGGAGAACACCAACCAAGTTGTTGGCTACATCTGGTCCAGTCAGCAAGTTCTTATTAAGCGAAGTTCCCTCGCATTCAGCTGCTGCATCGAACACAATGCGCACCTTGCCTGGTTTGGTAAGACTGGTTACAGGGTGATGCGGAAGATACCAATGTGTTTTAGACTCTTTGTTTAACTCTTCTTCTGACAACTTGCGAGCGAACCCACTGCTGATATAACTATCCATAACTTCGCGGTACTTAACGGCCATTTCTTCGTTGCCAGGTTTCGTAAGACGGCGTCTCAGGCACTCTAGACGGTGCTTGGCCATGGCTACATTATTCGGAAACTGGCGTTCTTTCTCCTTCCACAGCATACCGACTTCATACCGACCGTCCACGCAGCGGGTGGTGTTCTCAATTATCTTCAAGGCTATTTTGTCTTCCACCGAGAGGGGTTTCTCATTTGATTTCAGTGTCCCGTAATCCTCCAGATTCCAAAATTTTTCAATGAGAGAACGCGGTTCAGGGTCAATCAAGACAAAGTTTGCTGAAACCCCTTGACGACAATTGGCACCATAAGGACCACAAACGCACCAGCCCAAGGGATAACGACAGCCATAGAGCCCTTTCTTCTTATCTTCAGGGACTCTAACTTCCTTCTGTAAATGTGCATAGGGAATATTGTTTCCAACAAGTATAGAGACTCTCTTGATGTCAACCTCCGGGAACTCCACATCACGTAAGTGTGGGTACTCAATAGTGTCAATCTGCTCCGGAAGAGGACAGCGCGACTGGTTGAGGTTAGGCAGGACATAGGCCTCCGAAACGTCAATACTCTCCCCGGAAGTATCCACCGAAGTCAAGGTAAAGGACACACGTTTCGACTCTACCACATTGTCACTACTTGAAATCGTGTTAATTCCGATTTGCACGGGTGTTCCTTGAATACCAAGGTGATCAACTAAATCTTGTTCAATGAGGGTGTCAGTGCAGCCACTGTCTAAGAAGGCGTAAGTGGATACAGTTTTACCATTCTCAGCAGATATTACAACAGGTATAACGTTCAACAGCACTTTCGCTTGCACAGTCGCAACGGCAGCGGACGATATTGGCACCTTTCCCACAGACTTGTCAGACTTGTCTCCGCTTGCGGCTGGAGTGACATTTCCCCTTTCGCTGTTTGGGGATTTAGGCGTCGCCAATGGCTTGTCAGACTTATCACTAGACTCTCTATTATTCCGTGGGATGAAGCGACGACCACCATAATTACTTTCAGAGTGCAGAAGAGGAATGTGTCGACCGGAACATACTGAACATGCTGGTGGGTCCGGACAGGAGCCAGAACCGTGTCCGGGCCTTTCAAGACCACAATTAAAACAAAATCCACAGGATGCCGCATACTGTCTTTGCACTGCCACGTGTTTGCACTGTTTGATAATAGGGCATTCTTGGAGTTTGTGGCGCTTACTTGATTTGCAAATTCCGCAGTGTTCAGTGTTCTCAGAAGCAGGAGTTTTATGATCAACGCCGGTAGTACTGATTGTGGTGTTCTTTACTGGAAGCTTTGGAGGAAGTTTGGTATTCTTGTTTTCCCGCTTAAATGTCTGCAACCCGAACACCGGGTCATTTCTGATAGACGCTTGTTTGTGCACAAAATCAGCGACGTCCTTTAATCGAGCGGATCTTCCGGACTTCACGAGCTCGTAGTTCACGGTTTGCCACTTCAGGATTAAGTCGTTAGGTAAACGGTTCACGATGCGCCTGAGGTTCGTCGCTACGCTCGCCTCGCGTTCAACGTCTCCCTTGAGGATCCTGGTGGCTGCATTTAAGTTCTCAGAGAAATTGAGAAGACCAGTATTGTCGCCGTACGCCAACTTGGGGCCAGATGCGAGCTCTTCCACACATGCTTGCGTCACTCTCACCGCTTGGCCAAAACGTTTCTCCAACGTTTTCATAATCTCATTAAACGTACAACCTCTATTACGCTTCACAACCTCTAACGCTTCTCCCGCCACGAATTTAGGCAGATACTCCACTTGCTGGGCATCAGGATTTCGAGGTGCGTACGAACTTGTTCACGAAAAAAGGGGAACTCGGCTGGATTACCACTGAACTGTGTCGGCTTTATTCCGCTAAGATATTGTGCTTTCCACATTGCGGCAACATGATCACGGGGAGCCTGGTCCATGCTGGAGACGGTCTGCGACCTCCCGAAGTTAACACGTTCAGGGGACTGGGTCGAGTTAATCCCCGCAGAAGGAGTGGTGGTGTTCAATCCCTTCACAGACGATTCATTGTGGCTCAACATAGTGTCCGACGGTCTTGAAACTGCTGGATACTTTGGCTCCGTTGATTGAGGTGTTCCACTGGATATCACATACACGGCACTCGGTTGACTGTTAAACCCATCTCTAGAAACATACTCGGACGTGACTGGGGTGGAGTGTGATTGCTTGTTAACAATAAACGTAGAAGTGTTCAAGGCACTAGGCACAACAGGGGGGAGTTTGCTTTCAGTCAAGTTATCCATTTCAATTTTCCATTCAAGCTCAGCCAATGTTGCTTCCTCTTCAAGGCGCCTAAGTTCCATCCTTTGCTTATATTCATGAGCCACTCTTGCTGCTTCTGCATCTTCCTTTGTCCTAGCTCTTGCTAAGTCTAGTTTCATTTTAGACACCAGTGCCCTCTTTAGTGATTTCTTCTGTGAAGAAACTGATGATGCCTCAGAATGTTTGGTAACATGAGTAGCAACGCTGTGCACTGACTTATTGTCATCTTGTTTCGGATCCCAGACTGGTAGTCCACGGTCCATTCCAAGTTCGTCATGCCGGGGGTCTGGTCTTCTAAACAAACCCTCACACTCATTGATAATATCGTCCACTTCACGTTTCAGAGTAGAATAACGCTCTTGTACATGTTCTAAGCGTTTTCTCCCGTTAATTCCTGCAAGGTACCTCCCATGAAGTCCCTCGAGCCTGTCCCATTTTTCCAAGAGCAAGTCAACAGATTTCTTAGCTTCCTCTGGACTCAGTGTTACATGAATTTCAGACTGGATTTCTTTCAATAAACTGTCTATTTCCTTGCTAATATTTGACCACTGCATTGCCGTACTCCTCTGGTCCCGTGAGTCCCTTTTCCGATCCGATTCCAAAAATTCAACGCGAGTAGTCGGCGGGGGCCTGGGACGAAAATGATAGCCATCGCCTTCCCGCGAAGCGCTCAATGGCTGTGAAAACACATTTGTAGAAACACAAGAAGGTAAAGAAATATCGCTCCGAGTTGAAACCACAGGTAACTGAATCGAAAAATCGGGCAATCCACGATCCATTCCAGACCCAGCGTAATCCAAACTTATACCACGACCACTGTCGAAGCCAACGTTCAATCTATTCGAAGCATCCATCGATCACACTTGAAAACATGCAATTCCAATAGCACTTTTTTCACTGATGTTGGGGATAAGCACAGATTTCTTCAACTCAAACGGTGAAAACTAAAACAAAAATACAAAACATGTAGGTAGAGAGCAAGATAGAACTGAAAAACGAACCAAATACTTACAAGTTCTGTGCTCTCTCTACCATACAAACAACGCAACAACTATCACAGATCAACACCCTAGTCACATGGAAAAAGACGTCACGTGACCAGTGCTCAGGTCCCTATCAAAAAAACCTAACAGTTTTCGGATAATTTTCATGTCCGATTTTTAAATTAGATTTGTCCCGAACAAAGAGAAATTTCGTATCTCTCTTGCGGCCATGTGATATTATTCGTCAACTCTGGTAATAAAATCAGATGTTTATATTTCACTCATACCTACCGACACAGCACCACCTAACCCCTTCATTCGTTAATTGAAGATAGATTATATGTCGAGCTTCATATGTTATTAATAATGATTAAGAAAAACATAAATTAAGCATGTACAAACCAGCGAGATAATGTTCTGACGTTTCGACGACCTCATGACGCAGTTATCAAGGAACTGGAAATAAATAAATGCGAGGTTAAAAAAGAGTTCAAGTATACTAAAGTTGCTTAAATGAAGTAGAGCTGGACAAAGACTTTAGCATGGATTGAATCCGTTTGCACGTTCAAACGCAGTCTTAAATGTTTTATGTAAAGCATTTGGTTTCGTTTACAAGACAGTCGAAATTTGTTCCTGCATTTTTTTCAACAGCGCTTTAAAGTAACTTGGGGGGTCCTCAGGGACGGTGCCGGCGTGGTCGTTATCGTAGTGTTTACGCACAGAAGATGACGTTCTATGGTTATCCACGCGTGCATAAAGATGACCGCGCGTATAACCAACATAGCCCCCTGTATCGCACAGGTTACCTTGCAACTGGCGCACGACGCACTGTTGGTTGACCAGCTGTGGTTTGGTCTCACATTGTTGGAGGTCGTGGCCAATTTTCCGACTGACGAATACGGGGTCGTAAGAGGGCTGTATGAAAACGTACAGTTTTTCGATCAGTTCTGTTCGCCCTTTCAGCCTTTTTTAGGAGTTTCCAGTTTCGAGATTAGAGACAGATCCAGGAGAATATAATGTAGAAAAAATCAAAACATAGCTTTAAGTACAAAGGATTAAAGCAGAGCAGACAATGAGAGGACATTTTAACGCTGTCTCGGCTAATGTTTTCAAAGAACTAGATCACCCGGCAGTCTGATATTCACGTCCAATTTTCAAGAATTCCCATCGAATTCTTTTAAGAAAATGGGATATTTGATTGGAACTTTCGATTTCTGTGCAGACGTAGAAAGAGTCGTAGTCATACCAAATATTCGATAAGTTCAGGTTTTCGTGAAAAACAGGGACACCTACAGTTTGTAGTTATATATTTCAGACTGCCGGGCTGTTCCTAGCCTCCCAAGCAGGCGTTTTTAGGGGAGCTCGTTTTTCATCCCTACCCACAAACAAGCTCCCCTAAAAACGCCTGCGTGGGAGGCTAGGCTGTTTCGGACTAGTATTCTGAAAACCGCCCCCGTGATTCGAGATTCGAATATGCTCAAGCACGGAGGTTTCGTCCACTACAATACCAAATCTTTTTTTAGAATTGCTTGGCATTTACGAACAAACGTCAAATGCTCCGAGGAGGTTTCGATGACAATTTTTTCTGGATCTATCCTTTGATAAATGCATGACTCAGTGCGTCACGCCTATGAAGTGTTGAAAACATTGAGTTTTCACCACAGGTAGCCCAAGCTCGAAATATGAGCATCGGCGAGCATCGCCATTGTTGCGTAACATTCAAAATATAAGGATTTGTATGGGAAAAAAACCTATCGTTTCTGTAACCTACGAAAATGAAAGGATTTCAATAAAAAACAGCTTACCTTACTTTAAATGTGTGTTACGTCTCTCCTGTGTGGTCCACGGGCCGATTTATGGCCGTTTTATGGGTTTTTATGTAAACGGTTTGAAAACAACGGGAGCAAGAGACTGTCTCCCACCCCGAGTGTGAGTAATTTGAGTCTCAGGCCACGTCGCTATCTTTCAACGGTAACGCGGAGTCCAGGCCGAGGCTCAGTCGATGGCTTCAGACGGGAAAGGTTTCAGAGATTTGCGACCTTTGATTCGCTCTCGGTGCAAAGGCATCTTGAAGCAAGATAACGAATGGAAAGGAGAACTATCACGTGTTACCTAGGCGGAATTTGGAGGCGATTGGAGCAGTTGGAGCGAATTTACAGCCGTTCTCCTTCGTTGGATCATTCAAGCCGCTTCGCTGGAGTGCCCAACCTTGGTAAACCTTTATAGAGAGAGAAAACCGTTTACATAAAAACCCATAAAACGGCCATAAATCGGCCCGTGGACCACACAGGAGAGACGTAACACACATTTTAAGTAAGGTAAGCTGTTTTTTATTGAAATCCTTTCATTTTCGTAGGTTACAGAAACGATAGGTTTTTTTCCCATACAAATCCTTATATTTTGAATGTTACGCAACAATGCCGATGCTCGCCGATGCTCATATTTCGAGCTTGGGCTACCTGTGTTTTCACCATATGCCCAAGGTCGATGATTGAGTCTACTTCAAACTCAAGATGATGTTTGACATCGCTTCAGATTTCTAAAGAAACGTTTTATGTTTTTAGAAGAATTAAATCGGAGTATTCGTAAAAATGGATTAAATTCCTACAGACTGCCCGGCTGCCTGGTCACTCCATACCACACTGCGAACTAATTCGGTTTCTTTCCGGATTTCTCGCATTTATTTAGCGACTCGGACCACTTTCTCAGGGATCCTTGAGTCCCTCTTACATTCTTCCCATTCTTGCTTGCTGTTTACTATTTCCCGATAAAAATACGCGAAAAAACATTGTTTGTGGTATCCTTTTAAGATCTGACTTACTGGCGTTCGTAACAATGGGTAACTTGCAAAAACTCAAAAGTAAAAAAGGTAATAAAAACAAATCTAGGTTAATGAACGATAAAACAATAAATCACCTGTGTCAAGACTTGAAATGTGAAGATTGGATAGATGTGTACGGTAAAACGGATGCCCAAGATGCTTACTTTTACACTAAATTGTATCAGTTGATGATTAAGAAATTGTTCATGCTTAGTGTGCATATATCGAGTTATGGATGCACGCAGGAAGTTTGGAGAGCACGAGGCGCAGCCCAGTGTAACTCTAGCTTTTTGAGTGCTCTCCAAACTTTCCAAGTGCATCCATAACTCGATCTACGCACAGCTAAAAGCATGAGCAAATTCTTTTATAACAGAGCGACAAAAAGGATCTGCGCGAAGAAGCATTTTATTGTGATAGAGTGCAAAATTCTCACAACGCACAAAAAAAGTAAACAAACGTCCCCATTTGCTGGTCAAAAACACGTCATATTTTATACTTTGGTTTGAGCGAGAACATTTGATCCAGTTAACCGATAACTGTGAATAAAAAGCTCAAAATTTACGTGGGAAATGGAGAAATCAAAGTCAAATGAACTCAAGTGTCACTAAAAAATGTTTTAAAAGTCAAAGACCCGAAGTTATCAACGGTTTTGATTGATCAAAATAATGTTTACGCTGCCGTGCACGGTGCAATTGGAGAAGACAGACTGCAGGAAACTTGCAGTTTTCTCCTGGGCAACCACCACACTGTTATTTTGACGAAGAGTTATGGCTGCAGCAGAAAACTCAGGTTGGCTGCTAATATTGCCAGTGTTGAAGCTTCTTGATACGAAATCACTTTTTTCGTTCCTAGTGAATGTCTTACGGCCAAAATTTGCTGCAGCTGGTCTTCCGACAAATTTGCGAAACGCGCAACTTGAGAGTTTTTTTCGACTTTTTTCTTGCTGCTTATTGGATAAGCACCTAAAAGGTCAATACCGATAGTAATATTAGGCAGTTCTTCGCTGGTTTCATCCATATTTTAAAGAGAAGGAAAACTTCACCGCAGCTTAACAGGACGGCAACTCTGCAAGCAGGTAAAAAAAAGAATGCTCACGTCATCTTATTTACGCACGGGCGTGCGTAAATAAAGATTTTGGTCATAGCGGCTCAATAGGACTTATATAGGGCGAGCACGCGCGTTATGTTAATAAATAGATATGTACCACTACGAAGACTCAGTAACAAGAGAAGTGAAAACGGCCAGAGAGTACCTTGGATAACAAAAGGAATCCTAACATCAAGGAAAACTAAAAATATATTGTATAAGAAGTTTATGAAGAACCTACATGAAAAAATGAGTCAATTTATAAAACATACCGAAATAAATTCAACAAAGTAAAGAGAGCAGCTAAGAAGAACTACTATAACAAGGCCAGGAGTTTAATGAGAAGAAAGGTAATTTGAGAAACATTTTGAAAGGAAAAACCTGAACTACCAGATTGTTTTGTAGGAAATGGAAGTTCAATTTCTGATACAAGTGAAATAAGCAATAGATTTAATGAATACTTTGTTAACGCTGGAGAAAGCTTAGCCTCGAAAAACCCAGACAGTGATGTCAACATTTCAACATTCTTAGGTGAGATATCTACAAATTCAATGTTCTTGGACTCGATTATGAAAAATAAAGTACGAATTGAAATAAGTAAACTAAACGGAACCAAGTCTTGTGGTCACTAGTGACGAAATATGACCTAAATTAGTTAAGAGAATTTCAAAGTATATAGTTCAACCACTAACACACATATTTAACCAGTCACTGGCCTTATTCCTAATGAACTTAAAGTTGCACTTGTTACTCCAGTATTTAAAGCAAACAATAAGCAAGAATTTTCTAATTATAGACCCATCTCGGTTCTGCCTTGTTTTAGTAAAATATTAGAGAAATTAATGAATAAAAGATTAATTAAATACCTTGACCAGAACAACACATTATTCCCTACCCAGTATGGTTTTCGGAAAAGACACTCGACCAATTTAGCAACTATTTAGCTAATGACAAAAATATCACAAGCAATAGATAATAATGAATATACTTTGGGTGTATTTTTAGACCTTGCCCAGGCATTTGATACCGTAAATCATGAAATATAACCAAAGAAACTCGATCATTACGGAATTAGGGGAATTGCAAATGAATGGTTTAAAGATTATTGAACAAATAGGAGACAAATAGTTCATTACAAATCAGTCAGATCAGAAAGTTTGACATTCAAATGTGGAGTGCCTCAGGGACCTGTCCTTGGGCCTCTCTTGTTCCTATTTATATGAATGATATTTCTAGGTGCTCGAAGATCATAACATTTGTTCTCTTTGCTGATGATACTAATTTATTTTAAAGCTACAAAAATGCTGATATTTTGTGCAATGCCATTATGAATCGAGAACTTCAAAATATTGCGTCTTGTTTCACTTTAAATAAACACACTGTATGATTTTTGAAAACTAAGAGAAAGAAGTTCAAAGAAACTACTGAAATTGAAATTAATGGTCAAATAATCAATCAAGTTAAATGCACTAAATTTCTAGGTCTAAATATGGATGAGGAACTCTCTCGGAAAGATCGTATTGATCAAGTTGCAATAAAGATATCGAAAATGACAGGAATTACGTCAAGGGCGAGACATCATCTAACTATCCAATCATTAAAGACAATCTATAATACTATGGTGTATCCATACTTAAAGTATTGTTGCATTACATGGACAAGCACTTACCCAACAAGGCTAAAATCGATATTACCTTACAGAAAAAAATGTGAGAATAATGACCTTTGCAAAGTATCAAGATGAATCTAGACCTTATTTCTGTCTCTTAATCCTCTTAAAATATATGAGCTAAATATGTATTTGATAAAATTCTTTATGTACTCGTACTTTAGGAATGATTTACCACAATATTTTAAAAATTATTTCACACTGAATAAAAACAAATATAGTTATGGTACTCAATCAGCATCATATATATTTATTGATTATGAGAGGACAAATTACGGAAAATTTTCACTAAAATACAGGAGGGCTCAGATTTGGAATAATTTACCAGATGATCTGAAAACACTAAGGACATATTATTCATTTAAGAAAGGAGCTATTGTCTATGTGCAAAATCAAAGTAATTTACTTCATTAAGATAGGTTAATTAATTAAAATATATATGAGGTAATACTTTCGTACAAATCCCGTGGTGTTATAATTTATTTAGATTTGATATCCATCTGCTATTTTCACTAGACTTAATTTGTACCAAGGGGATCTTCCTAAAAAAAGCTCAATAGAGCTTCCTAAGATCTCCTGCCATTATATTGCATTGTAATAGCAGATAACAAGTAATAAGAACAGTTGTAAAAAATTTAATTTATAGTGGACAAATAAAATGATGATGATGATGATGAACACTTGGTAAACGCGCATACAAAGCCTTTAAGTGAAAAACAAATTAGACTGTCTAACTCGTGCGGGGGATCTCATCTGACGTAAACTATTTTTAGAATCTATGAGCAGCGCTATTCCTTAATAACGGCGTAATGAGGTCGCCGAAACGTCGGAAAATTATCTCGTTAGATTTTACATGTTTATGCTTCAGATGTTCTTAAGAGAATTGTAGTAAGCGACAATACTCGCCACAAAACTTGAAACACTTGTGTGCTTTTCCCCTTTCCCAATGTTGATTTGGGTATTGCAATCATCTAAGTGCTGCAAAATCAGTACGCGTGGCTTAACATTGGGGAAGGACAGGGGCACATTTGAGTGGGAACAAAGGTGTGAAGAGTGAATGTAAGAAATGTGGTGGAAATTCAAGAAAAATGGCTTCTGTTTCAACCATTTGTGACGAGTATTGTAGCAACCTTTAGTTTTGAAAATAATGCTTTCCTTATTTACAGGTTTCAGGATTAATTTGTCACCTCAGTTCAATGGAGAATCATTCTTCAAGCATTTATGTTCTTTTTTAGCACTGCGTGACTAACCTTAACATGCCTTAACACTGAAAAAAAAATATTGATATGGTATGACTTTTATGCTGCCATTGACAATTGGAGCTTAACCTAATGACTCCTACATGTTTTTTAAAAGTCATCATGCATACTTACACGTAAATTTATTTTGGATCCTTAGATATATTGTTTGCCCAGAATAACACTTCCACAACACCTAATCAAAAAAGCTTGGAACAACCGTTGTGGCTCCCTGCTGGTGCCCTAACTTCAGAGTTATTGTTTCCATTGAGCAATTTGGGCATCACCGATGCAACTCCTTTGCAACCTCACTCATACCATGTGAAGAAATTCCCTCAGCCTCATCTCAGCGTAAATGATAGGGAAAACTCGCACCAAGACAGTCATGTTTGTGCACCGCCAACTTCGTCACAAAGTAGTGTCATGTTCGGATCCATTGCCCATCCGATACAACTTGAACAGGAACATGTAGGAGCATCAGCGTCTAACCACGAGGTAAAAGACGAATACAGTATATGATGCAGAAAAGCCATATTGTGTTTACGAGTGAGAAATGCGCTTCTATATTCGGTACAAAGCTTGTGTATTTTAAATTGTTTATAGGCCAGAGGCCATCCATCGACTCTCAGTCAAATCTTGAAAACATGCATCATAAGTGACAGGAAATAATAACGCCCGAAATCACAACGAAATCAAACCAGATAGTAAAAAACAATAAATAATCAACCTCACTTGGGGAAAAGGCCCTGAAAGGCAGTAAATTAGGTCAGTAAAGCCTGCACGAGCTTTGAAAAACACTGGTATTTATAATATGAATTTGCCCGTTTATGCGATGCTTTTTCCTCAGTCTTCTCAACCACTAGTAAACAAACAAACCATCAAAGCAACTTTGAACAATGTAAGAATCTTGATACCGGCTGTATTTCATGTTGTGGAAGCATTGAAAGAACACAAGAAGTCTAAAACTTTTAAGTGCACGACGGTAAACAAATTTTTCAAACTCATTAATATGTCATAAAGAAAATTAATACAAAGGAAATAAATGTTTAATGAGTGTTTGCAAATCAGATGAAAAACTGCTCATTTTTGCATTGTTAATTTCCCCTTCTAAAAGCATTTGTTTGAGAAGTAATATTAAGTATTCGACACATTGTTTCATCACCAGATGAAACACCTAGAAGTTCGTCAAAAATACTCCGCTGCGCGTCGTATTTTTCAACTCCTCCGTGATATATTACTTGAAGATGCTGCATAAGTTTTTACGCATGAATTCACCTGTCAAAACTTTGACCAATCTGAGACAAGATTTAAACTCCAGGGGCCCGCTTATCGTAAGTTAAACAAACGAAATTCAAGATCTAAATTAGAAAAAAACTACTGGCTGACTCTACGTGAAATTCCACCACCTTGATAATCTTTCGCCAAGACAAACGCAAGCTGCATGTCTTGGATTCCCGGTCACCCTTGCAAAGTCTACTTAGTACAACCCCCAAAAAGTGTACGGGCGTACAATGACGTGACTACCAAATTTTCTCGGATGGATAGATAACCAAATTTTCATATATAGCTATGGGGCTCCGCTCGCACGGGTATCACGCGCGTGTGGAGCTCCGCCATAAGTTGTACACTGTCAAACCACGAGTTACAAAAAACAAGCAAAGCGGAAGAATGTCGGGATTCAAAATAAGAGCTGAGCAAGTTGAATCAAAGTGGCAACAGTTTATATAGGCCACTGCAGTATGGAATGTACTTCTTTGTTTTATTTGCATTTTCTGTTTTGTGAACCTAAAATAACACGGACTCTTAATCAGATTGGGCGAGAAATTCCAACGACAACACTTTACGTTTGTTTAACACAGACAGACAGAAAAGAAGAAACTAGAATCAACTAGCTTATTGTAGTGTTTAGAATTCACACTTCGCTCTACGGGGAAATAAACAGTTGTGTACCAGGAGAAAACCTTATGCCTCAGAAGCTTCCATTCAAACCGGCAGCGTCGTTATTACCCCTTTAGCCCACTTTGCATGGCATACTAAGTAGCAAGGTCACCGTGTATAGGGAAAAAAAACATTAACGGAAGATCAATACCAGTAATCAAAAACGTTTGTGTAAATCCTGGGTAACGGCTCTTTTTGCTGCCTCATGTGGTCAACCTTTTCAGTTTGCTTTTTTGACATTATTAATAGTTCTTCTTCTTTCTACTATTGGTATAGGTGTCAGACCCAATGGGTACAACTCCCAGCTGTAGTTCAGGTATTTACGTTTATTTTTAGCCAGTCGGTATTTAAAGAACATGGATAGCAAGCGTAATTTTAAAGTTTCTGTTCGGATGAAAACTGAGACATTCTCTTGAATGGTCCTGAACTTTCCATTTCGTGATCCAACTCTTTGCTGCGACTAGTGATTCCTCGTTTAAAAACAAGCTAAACCCTGCCTACCTCGATCGTTGTTGAGTTCCCGTCTTTATTTGCCTGTTCCTGGGCAAATTTAGTATATAAAGGGATGCAGATATTCTCCAAATAGCAGATGTCGTACGTCGTGTTGTGTTCGTACTGTTCTTGCTATGTTTCCGTCAGTAAGTTCGGCTATTTCTTCTTCACTTCACGGAGTGCACCATTTTCTACCGCTCTACCTGACTCGTCCCCAGTCATCTTCGCGCGTAAAACGCACGGCGGGAGCAGGGGGTCATAGGAAGGGAGAAGAGAGGAAGAGAAGAGACTCGCTTGTTTTTCTCCTCCCCAACTCACCCCGCGCGCCACTAGGGGGAGGTTGTGAGAGACGACTGGGAACGAGTCAGCAGCTGTACCAAAACAACGCAACCTTGTCTCTCCAATATGCGACTCTTCACTTTAGAGATCAGCACCACCGAAATCACCGTTCTTGTTTGTGAACAGAAGCCATATCCGGTATGGTCTCTTGACGACACAAAACTATCCGGTATAGTGTGAATATAGCATAGCCTAAGTATGCAAATGTGACCAGAAAGCCTCCTATTCATGTTAGAATTTTTATATATTGAACGTGGGCTATTAAGAATATCTTAAAATTGTTCCTTCGGTGCAAACTTCCCTTTCAGTGGAATATCTGGGTTTGTTACAGCAGAAAGTTAGGGCCCCTTGGAGTTTTAGAACTGAGACAGTTTTCGAAAACTGGAGACCTTTTTAAAAGTATATGTGCGTGTGCGAACTGCATGAACTGAATGAAAATCTTAGTTACAATAAACTCCATAGGGTCAGCTATTTAAACGGAGTTTTGCCCGTTTTTAGCAAAACCTCGTTCTATGTCCTCTTCAGTTTGCCCAACGCTCTTACCTAAATCCAATTTATCGTGGAATTTCACTGAAGTATAAAACGTAGACTGGAAAAGCCTAAGTTATACTTCGTTTGAATAACCGGCCCATAGAGTTTTAATCTCAGTTTATCCTCTACAGATTTAGAGTCTGATGCAAGTGGTCTCAGCTGGATAACCTCCTTTCTAGGAGATACTACCAGTGGAGAACCAAATATAGATGTCTTTGACGATTTTTCAGAGGTACCTTTATTCCGTTCTGAGTTTTTTTAACTTTGTAAGCAAAAGACACCTGATTGATTTCAGCATCGGAAAGAACAATTCAATACTGGCCACGAAAAGGGTTTAAGAAAATTAGCGTCTCCACTTTTTCATTAACTCTTGGTATTTTAAAAAGCAATGAAATGGCGTGAATAAAAATCTGAAATCACGTAGGCAAACCCTATAAAAAATTACATCCGATGCAAATGTCAGCTATGCTTAATGAGAACAGTCTACTCGCCAGTATTGGCAAGTTTTTTCAATCTATGGATAAGTAACGATACTGAAGTAGTGCTTAAATTTTAGTCGACAGATATTGATGATTTTCAACTGGAAAACGGTGGATCTCGAGGAGGTAATTGATAACTCTGCCAATACTAACTACATAATACATGTCTCTGAATTTCAACAAAGCAGTGACCTACATGAATTTCAATGATAAATTTCTTTCTTTCTAATAAGTCATTTCTGTAATCAGAGCAAGCACCACTAATTCTTTTGTAAGCTATCAAGCATCTTTTAATATCAGTTTCAACGTAATATGGCATCCGTCCTAAGGTTTTAAACAGATCTACGTGTACGCTACTATGGTATTTTTGGTCGTCCAGAATAATACGCGCACAAGGTTTTTGCGGCTTGAAAATCTTATCAAAATTATCTTGCCTGCAACAGCTTATCCAAGTTACGCTACAATGTAATATTGATTGCTTGATTAAAGAATTATAATAAAGTATACGCTCTGTTCTTGGAAAGTAAGCCTTAATTCTATTAAGTATTCCGATACGCTTTGATATCTTTTTACATAAACAGTCAATATGAACAGCAAAACTAAGTTGCTCATCACGCTTTTAGACCGACTATAAGTAAAATGTCCCGAGAACAATAGCCATTCTGCGCGATGTATCACTTTGCCGACCACATTGTTGAGGCCTCAAATGTAATAAATGACCCTAAATGTAATAAAGATCCTAAGTGTAGTAATTTTTGGCCCTAAATGTAATAACTCTTGGCCCTAAATGTAATAAAGGGTCTAAGTATATGTGTAATAGGTTTTAGCCCTAAATATAATGGAAGTCTTAACAGTATACATATATGTAGTATAACACCCCCAAACTTGATAAGGTCCCTGACTGAAACATGCGACGGTCTGATGCGATATTAGTGTTATAGCCAGCTGGCGATTCACTTTCTTCGCCCTATTGTAGTCTTCATAGATATTCATTAACTTACAAAGCGGCTAGAGTGCTCAAGAGGTAGGAGAAACACATAAATTAACTACGTCTCGATCGTGTTTCCCACTACATCCCTACATCGTGAAACTCGAGTTATAAACAAATGGAATCTACACAAAAGTTTTCAAAACACAGTAGTAATTTAGTAATTGAAGGAAGTATTAATGTTCATTAGAAACAATCGTAGTAAATTAAGGTGACTCGACCCAGTTTTTTTGGGGGGATACCATCCTACTTTGAAGCTCTCTGGTATCCCCACCTTTACTTTTATCGTAAGTCTAACACATAGAATGGATAACATATAGATCAATCTGCAATATAACATAAAATTTTTGGCGATCGGAGTAAATGTCACGTGGTTATAATGCTACGCCCCTTTGAGGTCTGAGTCGAAAATCGGCTGCTGCCGGCTACACATAGTGCGCATTAGTGCCTTGCGCTGAACAGAGTTTCACCAAAATCGCAAAGACCCAATTCGAGAAATTCAGCGGTTTCCAAATTTAGGTCATAATTTATGCGAAAATGATAAGCAAACTTTACACGGATTATATCTAATAAACCAAGAGATTCATCCCTTTATTTTGGGCATCGTTATAACAGATGGGTCCTTGCAAGTCAGCAAAACGCTTTAGGGCCTTGTAAATGCGCGCGATTTCGAGCAAAGCAAACATATAGAAATTATAGTTTTCGCT